AAAAAAAAAAAAAAAGTAAAATAAAAGTTTTCTTTTATTTTTATGAGACAGAGTCTCACTCTGTTTCCCTGGGTAGAGTGCTGTTTTAGCTCACAGCAACCTCAAATTCTTGGGCTCAAGGGATCCTCCTGCCTCAGCCTCCCCATTAGCTGGGACTATATAGGCACTTGCCACCACGTCCAGCTAGTTTTTCAATTTTTAGTAGAGATGGGGTCTTCCTCTTGCTCAAGCTAGTCCCTAACTTCTGAGCTCAGGTGATTCACTTACAGCCTCCCAGAGTGCTGGGATTATACATGTGAGCCACTACACCTGGCCAACAAAACAGTTTCAAACCAAAATGAAAAATCTTTTGTGGCAAGGATGGACAACTACATTTAGGATCCGTCCTAAAACAAGATAAAACAACACGACACACAAAAACTTTTAAGAAATTAAAGGATTCTTTCCTATGTCTGGTTTTCTTCAGTTTCCATATTATTGATACTTTAGAGCCATAGTTAACCACTTGCATTCTTGAGATGTACTTACATAAAGAGTCATGCTATACTATTATCATAGCTTCTGCAGATTTTTCATTATTTAAAAAGGGTATTTCAAAAATACTTACATGCTGAATGTAAATGAGGAAAGAGACATCCCAGGTAATTCCAAAGTTTGTGTGTAGGGGGAAGCAGAAAATATAATTTCATTATTTGACGGTAATAATTATAGTAATTTAAAAGGCTAGAATATAAACATTACATACCTTGACAACATCAACCCAGTTCCAACCCCGAGGAAGTTCACCTTTGTGATCTAGAGGATAAAAAATGGCAACTTTATTTCTAAGACCAGCTAGTTTGATTCTAATAAATATGATTTTATATATTATATATGCCAAATAAATTAAACATTTCAATCACATGTTAATAAACTGGAAAAACAGATTTTATTCCATTTCATTGAAAACTGAAAGCACCATTCTAACCTGGGGACACCTGCAAAGTATTTTAGATATACTCACTTTTTATATTTACAATTTTTTTTCTTTTGAGACTGAGTCTCACTCTGTCACCCTGAGTAGAGTGCTCTTGAGTTGTCATAGCTCACAGCAACCTCATACTCCTAGGTTCACGCCATCCTCTTGCCTCAGACTCCGAGTAGCTGGGACTATAGGTTTCTGCACCATGCCTGGCTAGTTTTTTGATTTTTAGTAGAGATGGGGTCTTGCTCCTGCTCAGGCTGGTTTGAACTCCTGAGCTTAGGTGATCCACCACCTCACCCTCCCTGAGTGCTAGGGTTACAGGCATGATCCACCAAGCCTGCCCTAAAACATTAATCTAACATTCTTTAAAAACGGCTTTACGGCGGCACCTGTGGCTCAAGGAGTAGGGTGCCAGCCCCATATACCAGAAGTGGTGGGTTCAAACCCAGCCCTAACTGGCCAAAAACTGCAAAACAAAAACAAAAACAAAACGGCTTTAATCTGTTAGAAGTGCTAGAAAACAATCTCATAAGGATATATATGTAAGAATCCAGAGTTTGCAAAGTGCTTTCATTCTTTTCATAGAATATTCGAATTTAAATAATAGTTTCATAAAGGAATACTATCTGAAAATCCTTCAATTTAAAGTGGCTTGATTCCCTTTACACTAGATATATGCCATTTATTTATTTATTTATTTTTTGAGACAGTCCCTGGTTATGAGGGGTACAGTGGCAGATCACCAATTTTGGTTAACCAAAAACTTATCATCAGTTTTATAACTGTCTCATTAAAGTTTTCTTTAGAAAGTACCAAGTCACAAACTCCTATGCTGTTATTACAGGAAGGCAATGACTTTATGTGGGTCTCATAGATGGAGGTAGGGGGATACCTATTAATGAAAGGGAATGATCATAGGTCATTATGTATGAAAGCAATAGGTGACTAATAGACATGTTATAACATTCCAAAAAACAAAAAAAAGAGATCAACCAAAACAGAACAGACTGTACTATAACGCTGCTCTGACATTAGGTATTATGGATTCCTAGATTTCTTTATTTCACAAACCGTTATAATTTCAGAAATGTAATTTGGGGACCATTAGGGGTTGCTATGTTTTTATTCTGCCACAGACATACATTCAACAAAACATGAACCACCAAAAAAACTACCATACCTTTATAAAAGAAAGAACATTTTAAACTCCCTCACCAAAATAAAAGGGTCAGTTAAAGGGCAGCTTGTAAGTTTGTACCAGTATTATATACATACTAAGTACACATGTGCATGTCCATACATGATAATGTCCTCATTTTCCGTAACTGTGAACAAGTTTACTGAATGCTATCAATTTCAGATTAAATAAGAAAAGAGATCAAATATTATTGTTCATCTTACGTTTATAATCTTCTTCTAAAGGACTCTGGTTTATGACACATGGAATTCTTTTCTTTTTTTTTTTTTTTTAGAGACAGAGTCTTACTTTGTCACCCTCGGTAGAGTGCTGTGGCATTGCAGCTCACAGCAACCTCCAGTCTTGGGCTTAGGAGATTCTCTTGCCTCAGCCTCTGGAGTAGCTGGGACTATAGGCG